AGGCATCAAGGAATGGATTATTTTAATTAGGGGTAATCTGTATTAAAGTTAGAAGCTGCATAATGCAGAAAAATTAAGTCAAGTCCTCACAAAATGCACAGGGAGAACATAACTCATTTGTGCTCAAGTACAACATATCTGAAAATACCACTTTTCTCTGTGTAGATGTGTTTGGGTTCTGGCAGCGCTGGAGAGAAGTGTCTCTATTAACCATCTGCTCTGATTTTGAGTGCTTTGATCAGCATCCACATGTGATTGAGTTCTCCAGTTGGCCAGAAAAGCAGCTGAGGTTGAGAGACGAGATAAGGGTCAGGTGGTTTTGTATCATGACATATGCTATTTGGACAGGTAGGAAGGTGCCTTTCCATTCAGCAGTCTTCACGAAAGATAAAGGTTTTTTGACAGCACATCACTTGGACAGAATGGGAAGGACTGCAGATAAACTAGGATTTTAGGCTACAGGGATTAGCAAGTATTGCAGTGCTGCAGGCTGCAATTTATCAGCTACCCAGACCTGGCTCCCATTTGCCTTTGCTGAAATCCTTTTGAAGGGTGACAGCATTTGTGAACACTAAAACTGTAAGCAGGCAAAGTGCAGAAGTCGGGATTTCTTATTACAGGAGAAATGGAACAAAAAAATAGGGAAGATGACAGTGGAAACCATGTCATGGTGAATAAGAAGTCAGGCTTCAGTCTTGGGGAGAACTGGCATCCAGGCTCGTTTAAATTAGATGTTAATTTTTTTTCTTTCTAAGATTGATCTTGGATTTCCTTCTGTCACCTTGTATCCTTTTATGGTCAGTAGCACTGTATCCATGCATATTTATTCGATTTAGACATATTTTGCAAGTCACCTTCACAACAACTTACTTTCTTTTCCTGGAAAAACTGGTTGGTTTTGTAGAGACTGAATTTGCAAGTCTAATCTTTGGCATTTATTAACCCTTATTAGTCTGGCTGCTAAACGGACAGCTAAGTTCTCAGGCTTATTTGCAATTCAATTGCCTTCTATATATTAATGACAGTCCATACTTCTGTTTAGGTTTCATAGTCTAGATTCCTTTGCACATGAGAATGGCCTGCATGTTCAGCATCCTGTGAGAGAAACAGTGGTCCAGTCTGAGAGCGAGCAGTGCTCCTGCTGTCTGAGAGAGCAAGAATTAATGGTTAGTACAGCTCTCAGTTCTTTCAGGGAGCCACAGGTGTGAGAAGAGGAGTGAGTTTATACACCTGCAAACACTTTCTTTGCCTTAAGCTCATAATGAAGCTAGAGGAGAAAAGCCAGATATTTTTCCTCCTCAGACTAAGTCGCAGCCTGAACCTGAGCTAGAAGCACTCTGTCTGTTTGCTTGTGGTATTTCCAGACCTGCTGAAGGCCTAGAAAGCGCAGCCACTGAAACAAACAGAGGTTACCTTATTGAGGCAAGGTTGGTGCAGCAGGAGACAAGTTGTTGGAATAAACACAGCTGTGAACACAGTACAGCCTTCTCCTTTGCTGGAGCAGTCAGCCACATACTTTGTCTGTGCAAAGGTACAGGGTAAATATGTGTCCCTGGGGAATTGCTAGGACTATAGGCTCTGCTCTTGAAATTCATCTTGGATAGGGTTCTCCAATGTTTAAATCAAATAAAGCTGTGGTTATACCTATTACAGGGAATGGTTGGAGCTTATTAATAGCGAGAAAAACAACCTGCCATGGAATATACAGTCAACCTTTGGCATCAGTTGTGCTTTCCAACACCTAATTGCTTCCAGCACTGCCATGACAGGCTTCAAGCTGCACTCTCCACGTTAAGGTTTCAGGTCAACTCCTCCAAGTTCCATGTGAAGAAGACTCTTCCCTTTGAGAAGAAACTTTTTATCTGCATGACTGTAACTGAGGAGCTCCTGAACAGATTTTGTTCATGTTCCCACATAAACATCAATTCTGGGCAAACCCACAGCCACAGAATACTACAGTTTGGGGATTTGGAGGGCACAGTGGCCTTGTTTCCAGGAGAAGAGCCTGAAACACAGAGAGTGCCACCAGGCAGTGAGGCCCAGGGGCCAGGGCAGCTCCAACACCTCATGTTCCAGCACCAGAGCAGTTCCCACTGCTGAACTGGGCTAAGCTCCACTTCACTGCTGGGCTTAGGGTGGCTACCAGGCATCTCACCCTGATTTTCACTTCAAAAAGAACCCATGGTTGGAATGATTTTGAAAAACAGGATTTTCTGTACAGTCACAGGGTTTGTACTGGGCCAGCAGAAGTGTCTGCATGAGATGAATCCTGCTGGATCCCTGGTGATGTGTGGAGCTTCCAGGCCATAAGAAAACCCTCATGGCTCTAGCACACAGGCAGATACACTTGTCACACACCCACGGCACAAGGAATGGCCTTGTTCAAGCCACGAGATGTAAAGCTCCGGGGAGAAGTAGCCTTGAGTTACCTGGATGCAAAAGAGAGAATTCAGCACCTGTGGCGGTGAACAAAGTCAGGCCTTGTTACCAGCTTGGACTGGAGCCACCAGCAGAAACGATTTGACCTCTCCAATGTGCCAGTTCAGTTGAAGCTTTCCAGACCTGACCTGGGAATACAATGCTGGGATTATCACCACAAGCAGCTTGGGAAACAGGGCTCCCTTCCTGAAATTCACTGTAGTCTTTGCAATAAAATGAATCTGTATCCTTCAAGCCCCCTTTTTGCAGCACTGCCTGGGAGGGGGACACCCGATACGACTGAATTCACATTTCTTGCATCTCTTTTACCAGGGCGCATTGTCCGACCAGCACTTCCCAGGGTGAGCCAGCTTCCCTAGTTCCTAGGTAACCCATGCCCCCCCCCTTCC